CCTCATGTTGATGAAAACCTGTATGCTGCTATATGTTCATTTTTTAACATTTTTGTGGAACACTGGCTACAGTTTTCTATACAACTGATCATAGTGACCATGTCTACAAAAGTAGTTCTTCTGTGCTATTTTCCAAGTTTCTTTAAGCCAGACACTGCAAAAAGTGATTTTCTTACTCCGTAGTAGTTTTATTTTCTAGCACAAATATCTAAACATTCTTACATCAACCTGAGAGGCAAGCCGAGATCTTGCTTCTTGAAAAATGTATCAAAATGAGATGAGTTCCTGCTTAAAACAAGAAAAAATAGGGTATGAATAAACTTGCAGTCCTCTTGAATTAAGCCTTTTCCTTATTATGATTTTTCTTACTACAAATAGTTTTTTCTTGTTTTAAATTTAAACTCTTTTTTCAGAAAACAGACAGAATATCTTATCTTTATGCTTCTCAAGTAAATGTTAAATGATATTTGTACTGGAATGGAAAAAAAATACTGAGTAAGAAAGTCACGTTTTGCTATCAGCAGACAAAATTTGTTTAAATTTGTGATCTGTCAACATGAGTAGCAGATCACTGAATGAGTGAATAATTATGGTTATAAGGAAAAGTGCTCAAAATTGCCGTTTCATGTTCCTCTGAAAAAAATAACAACACATGGGTTTAGAATAACATGAAGTTGAGTAAATAATAAAATAAAATGTACATTTTTGGGTGAACTATTCCTTACTCTAGAAAATGTTTGACCGAAAACGTCTTTTTTTTTCTCCATAAATGAGTTTACACCTTAATTCTTTCTGCTTTATGAGGTGGTGGCTTTGGGACCTCACACTAAAATTAAGCCAGGCTTACCAAGAAAACATTCCAATGAGTTCCTGATCAGTCAAATGCTTTGAATAGCAATGATCCTAAAATGACAATCGAGTGTTTTTCGTTTAAGCCATCTGACTGTCACACCAGTGTATCCTGGGGCCTGAATAATCATAATCATTTGTTTAATTGTGATATTTATTGGTACAATCAATATTGAATTTGTGTCAAAGATTTAAATGCAATTATCCAAATTTCAAGTGTTTTTTAGGTGATGCTGATCTTGTACAGTCCGCATAGGTCTGAATGTTCCACCTGTTTTAATAGGACATCCTTGTAACATTGACATATGCCTGGTAAAATTAGGTTAATGTTCTCTCTCTTGTGGTTCGTTTTCCTAAATAGAGTGACCTTACGTTGGTTAGATTAGGTTAGACTGGTTCTTCATTCATTAGAATACATTCAACATGTGTCATGGTTTTAGGGGCAGCAGTTAATTCTGAATGATTGTGTTGAGACATATGGATGATGTGCATCGGAAACTCTTTTTCTTCTCTCTCATTCAGTCTGAGCAGCAGAAGATAAGGTAGTCTGGTTCTCCCCCTTGTATCTGAGAAAGGGTTGAGCAGCTTTCTCTGGTCCAGCGGGTGAGCCCAGAATGCCTGTTGTGCCAATTGAATGGTTAGGACAGAACAGCAGTGTCCACAGTCCTCTGTATGACACCTCTCTCTCTAACCCCAGCTCATGGGATGGGTGAGGTTGATGTTAGATAGGAAGGGATAGGCTGATCTGCCATGTTCATTCACTTGCCACTGGTTTTGTCATTGCAGTTTTCATCCATAATAAACCTGTCATTTCTCTAAACTGGCTCTATTATTCATTGAAGCTTTGCTGAAGATTGTTTGATGGTCTCTGTTGTTGAGAGTCTAGATGCGTTGCACATGGTCCACCACAGTGTGTCAGCAGAGTGCAACATTGTAAGATGGAAGCAGTTGTTCTGATCTCTTTATGTATTGGCTGCATAACATCAGGCTGCTTTAGTTGACCTCTTTTGAACCTCAGATGCAGTAATTGACATTTAAATTGAGTGTATGATAAACAATGCATTTTTTGAGCATATGGCAATTGGTTTTTGAGCAAAGGGAAAACTGAAGAAGAACGAATGAACATAGTGGTCATAAATGTGCATGATCAGAAACAGATTTTTTTTTTCATCTTCTGCCAATGGACCGATGTAGGCTGAAGCATTTATGAATTTTTATCAAATTCAAGATAATAAGAAGGAAGATTTGTCATTACTTTTCATTAGTGCAAAGCTAATTTAACTTACATTTGAAATGTTTAGTACTGGAGAATACGTGTTTTTGTCACTTCATGCACTCCAGCTCAGAAAACCTTCTAGATCTACATGTCTCCAAATATCTAGCCAGCTTTATGTATCCATAAAGAGTAGAAAAAAGTCTTCATTGTCATTTTGGCATCTCTCCCTCAGAATAAGAGGCTGTTCCATTGCTCAAGTATGTGCATCAGTGCAATATGAGAATATATAGGAATTTGTGCAGGCGGAATTCTTCCATCTCTATGCTGTTCTTGTTTTTTTTACCTTTAGGTTTTGTCCTTACTTCTTGTTATCCTTTTCCACTCTCCTTGCCTGAATCTGCAATTAGACCATTACAGATCATCATCTGTCTATTTATTGACCTAAAACATTTTGTTTTCCAGCTCTTCTCCCTCCATCATCTGGTTTGTTTTTGTGTGCATATTTAGTTTTTCCTCCTCACACTCCGCAACCCCCTTTTTCTCAGTCATAATGTCCTTTCTGGTGCAGAGTCTGATCTCAGCGAGGAAATCGTTTGACAGCTTGTGATTCCACTCATTTTCTGTTCATGGAGCCTGACACCATGCCTAGTCTAAACCTGTTCAGCAGAAGCCTTGGTGTGGACAAGTTGTGCACTGCATTAATGCTCCCTGTACAGATTATTGTGTGTTTGTGTTAAATATCACATAAGGGTCATTGTCATCACTGATTATTACTTTGTGTTGATTAGGGCTGGTATATTGATTTTGAAAGCTCCCCTGCTGTTGAATCCATGTCATTGCTGCTAAATCTTAAAAGCCACACAGCAAAAACAAATATTATTTTACCAGAGTTGAGTTAGCAGTTTTATAAAAACACAGTGTACTACAAAATAATGGTAAGAAACATCTTACAGTTGGACGTCAAAACAAACAGCGCATCAAGTGTTGACAAAACAATAGGGGCTAAGAATGCTGCACTGGTCTTCTCACATAATCAACGGTGCTCTTTGGATATTTAGAGGTCAATATCAACTAGAATGATGAATTACTCCATGGCACTCGTAGTAACAATAAAAAGCCTTTAATTGAAGGTAGATCTACGCATTTCAGCTTCAAAGACTTCTTCAGGAGCAACGAGTGTATTTGGATTAACATGACTCTTTATAAGATGGATCGTTTTACTGAATTAAAAACATACATGATTCATGAATAACACTGAGCCATGGCTGTTTTAGTAATTTAATTAAAACAGGTTTCAAAATTGACACAAAAAGCCGAAATGTGACCCTGGACCACAAAACCAGTCTTAAGTGTCAATTTTTCCAAATTGAGATTTATACGTCACCTGAAAGCTGTATAAATAAGCTTTCCATTGATGTATGGTTTGTTAGGATAGGACAATATTTGGCCGAGATACAACTATATGAAAATCTGGAATCTGAGGGTGCAAAAAAAATCTAAATATTGAGAAAATCACCTTTAAAGTTGTCCAAATGAAGTCCTTAGCAATGTATATTACTAATCAAAAATTAAGTTTTGATATATTTACGGTAGGAAATTTACAAAATATCTTCATGGAACATGATCTTTACTTAATATCCTAATGACTTTTGGCATAAAAGAAAAATCTATAATTTTGACCCATACAATGTATTTTTGGCTATTGCTACAAATATACCCCAGCGACTTAAGACTGGTTTTGTGGTTCAGGGTCACAAATGGAGATATAGTCAACATTTTTATCATGATTATACATTTATATCTCTTAATTTTGACTTTTTAATCTCATAATTCTGAATTGTTTCAAAATTTTGACTTTTTATCTCCTATTTATTATATACTAAATCAGGGGTGTCCAAACTCGGTCCTGGAGGGCCGGTGTCCTCTAAACTCTGCAGGACACCGGCCCTCCAGGACTGAGTTTGGACAGCCCTGTACTAAAGCATTCTAATGAGCTGGTTCTTATGAATAGTTCATACTTTCAGGTTACCAGTTCAATGCTGAGCTGTATAAATTTAAATATATTAATATTTTTAATACATGTATATTTAAATCATTAGCAGAAACATTGGGTCTTATGTCAGCAAAGTGTACTTTACATCTACTATGCAAATTAATCAAACTCAAATCAAAATGGATATAGAGATCAGTATTTTAGTTTGCAGTGAAATTTTGATTTAAGTGTGTGAGCTGGCAATCTGTTGCACAAGCAGTATGTCATATGAGCTTGAGTAACGTGGGATAACAGATACTGGTTTGTTAGTTCAGTATGGAGAGCACGAGCCCCAAAGGATCTGCATAGATAGACCACAAAGACTGCCTCTGATGTAAGTGCGTTTTTGTATCAAATTTCCAAAAATACCCTTTGCAGCTGTTCTCAGATCTCCGATTCTAGACATGAAGAGTGGTGTAACAGTCTAAAAGATTCACCTTTTTTTGTCTTGTCGAGAAGGGAAAGCGAGCTAGCAGGCTGATATATATATTAACTGAAGACATTAACTGTATTCAACAAGGATGCTTTAAATTGGTGAAAAGTGACAGTTAAAGACATTTATAATGTTACAGAAGATTATTATATTTCACATAAATTCTGTTCCTTTCAGCTTTCTATGGATCAAAAAATCCTGAAAAAAATGAATGTTTTCCATGAAAAAATCCACAAAAATATTAAGCAGCCTAACTGTTTTCAACTTTGATAATAAGAAATATTTCTTGAGCAGAAAATCCGCATATTAGAATTATTTCTGAAGGTTCGTGTGGCACTGAAGACTGGAGTAATGATGCTGAAAATTCAGCTTTGCGTCACAGGAATCAATTACTTTTTGAAATATATTATAGAAACAGTCATTTTAAATTGTAATGATATTCCACAATATTAATGTTTTACTGTATTTTGATCAAATAAATGCAGCTTTTATGATGCGCATAAGAGACTTCTTTAAAAAAAAACAATTTTTGTGGTTAAATATAACTATCACATTGTATGCAGCACTACACAGTATTCAGTAAGCAGTAAGCTAGTATTCCATTCCAGACATATCCAGTCTCTATCCATTTCACTCTGTTCACTCATCCCACTTGTGACCCTTTAAGAGTTGACACCACAGGCTTGAATAACCGGTTAACAGGGTTTAACACGCATGTAAGTATGTAGTGTGCATTACAGTTAATCTTTTCTTCCTAAGTGTCCTCTGATGGTGATGATCAGATGTCAGATGGAATTAAACTTGTAAATATTTCCTTAAAACACAGAAGCATCTCCTTATGCAGTCAAGCTGCAGTGTGGTTTTCTCTTTTGAGATGCAAAGATGCCTGTCATGTTTTTGGTTTGATTTAAAGATGATGGGAGGTTTCTTTGCATAAAGGAAAGAGACAGGTACATGCGGCCACCTCTTTAGACCCCAGACACGGCACTCGTCTTCCTGTCTTCTCTCCGTGAGGTAAAGCACAGCAGCCAGCAGAGGCAGAGTAAACCGAAAGCAAATCCACAAGCAGTCAGTTTTTTCTGTCCTCTCTGCTCTGGAAATCCATATCTAATGCATTCAGTTTTTGAGCTCTATCACAAGCCCTTCCAAAAACATAGAGCCATCCGCATGCCACAATGTATCCAGGATGAGGAACAGTAGAAGCTGATACAAGAGACAGGGGAAGTGTTACTATCTATAGTCGATTCTCATAAAATTACGATTCATCTTAAATGAACAGTGCAACTGTGTCATAATGTTTGCAATGCATATACTGTATGTAAACATCCACTCAGTATTTTTTTCTAGATAGAAGGTTTTAAGCATAAAAGTACCTTTAGAATTGGTCAAGGCTCAAAACTTTATTTCCTCTTCATGTAGGCAAAGCTTCATTTTACTATCTGGTGAGATAAATAATATAAACTCAGTTTATGTGAGTGATGTAAACCCATTGGCTGAGACTCGACTTCAATTTATTCAAGTGAGTTGTGCACATACTGCCTTACAACTGTAGCTATTCATTCAAAAATGGTGATCTTGAGGTGAAAAAGATTTTCTGCAGTTGTCACACAAAGTTTATGTATATGTCCTATGTTTAACTTATGAAGAAAATAAGAAGGACCTAAATAAAGAACAACAAAGAGTAAATTGATATAAAAAATAATTGATTACAACGTTGATCGTATTTTAGGTACTGCACATCTTGTCAATTAAATATGTGCTAAATAATTTTATGATTATCCATCATTATGCATTGAGTATAACAAAAAGTTCACTAGCAGTTAGTTTTCTCAATGTTTACAATATCTGATCACTAATATCTAATGGTTAGTAGTTTACAGTTAATCACAGTCATTGATATACTGTTGGACGATAATATATTGAAAAACTGTATATTTGTCCCGATCAAGATGGAAATTATGCGATTTGTTGCTTTTCTGTTAAATGGGTAAAATTATAATGCATTTCCAATCAGCAAGAATTTCAATCATTTTGTCATAAACCAGGAAATGTGATAAATCATTGTATTTCAAAACTACAAAAAGGTTCCTAAAATGGGAGTTCATTTCTTATCAAGCTGAGAGTTATCAAGTGAGTTTTGGACTTCCAGAATGAATTTATGATTGAAATACATGTTTCTAATAATAATTTGCAGTGGTGGGATTAAAGCAAGCAGAAGTGTAGCCTCCTAAAACTACCACAGACACTACTGAAATCCTAATTGCACTGACCGAGTACCTCAAGAATCTCTGTGTTAGAAGCATACATGTACATACTGTATATATATATATATATATATATATATAATACTTCTTAAATACTTTTTTTTATAATAAGGCGCAATTAAGTTGCAACGTAGTATGTTTTCTTAAACCTTTAACACTTCTTTATTATATTTATAATATTTTCTGTACAAATAAGTTACTCTGAAGTATGTGAATGGTCCCCTGATTCCAGATGAGAAAAAAATGTAACACAAAAATTAAGCAAATACCAGAGGTAGAGCTAAAAGAGTGACAAATTAATGAGTGATTAGTGTGTACATATATACATAATAGAGATTTCAACTGTGACAGTTGCTTTCGAAATTTTGCTACCTACTATTTAGATTGGAAATGACCTGTGTATTGCTGTTCATTTACCATTACCCTGTTTCTTCTGTAAAAAAGTTATTTCTCACCCAAAGCATATACAAATAAAAAATAAAATGCTATTTTCCCCCACTGATTTTTACAAGGATTTCCCAGGACTGTGAGGATATGTACATAGTATTGGTTGTACTGAAATGCATTACGCAATCACCAGCTTCCAAACAATGTGTTATGTCTTTGCTTTGGTACATTAACCCACAAAAATGACCAACACAGAAAACGAGATTTCCTGCTGTGGTAGTCAAATGTAGATTTCTGTCCACTGTAGCAACATCCACTGCCAGCACTTCTAATAATTTAAGAGCTAATACTGTAGACCAATTAAATTCACAGTGTCTTCTGAACGCTTTACATTTGATATATAGATTAAATATGATTCGGAAAGTTGCTGTGTCACTAAGCTGCCACTGTGTTTGATTCCCACAATCAGGCTGTTATTTTCAGAACATTCTTGCTGGTGGTGGATATGTTCCCCTAAACTTCCGAGGCTCTCATTTGCAGCATCTTGCCGCTGGTCTTCTGAAGTTGTCCGGAGTACAGCCAGATAACCTTTTGTCCATTCTGTATGCATTGTTCACATCCTTTTTTCTCTTCCTACTATCGCATTTTCCACACTTACTTTGTACTGTAAAGACTGATATAATCCTGCAACCCTAATCTATGAAAACCATCCATGAAAGAAAGATGGAGAAAAATGGAGGACCTCCGATCCTTTGCTTCCTAACCTTCCTCCTGATTCATCACTCCAGTCTGCTCTCATGTAACTGAATGGACAGCTGTCTGTAAAAATGTTGTCTTTGTAATTGATGTAACACTGTCGATGATAGATCAGTATCTGCTTTTCAGATTGTGTAACCGCCATGTACCTGAATCTAAAGTAGCCAGGACATTACCCCAGTCCTGTACCAAACGGCACACTTTTTGCACACTTGTGCTATTGGCACGTGTCCATGAAGACCGTAGGGCATCCCATTTGTCATTTTAGTTACTAAAAAGGTGTTTACTTTGGAGCACTGCCTGTCAGTTTATGCGCTATTATGTCATCAACACGTGGGCAAAGAGTGGCATCTGGGACAGGGTCTAGCCTGTCACATCTGTGGTGTGTTTGCCGTGTGCTGGTGTGTGTGTGTGTGTGCAGTAGAGTCAGGCCAGAGGTCAGTATATGGAGTCCTTGGTGTTGGTTGATGTGTGAGTTGTGGTTGAGTCGTCCGGCAGCGAACCTCTGCGTGGGGATCCGGTGTGGCAGCGCAGCAGTGCAAACAGTTCACGGGACACACTGTTGGAGAAGGCTGTGTAGATCCATGGGTTAGTGCAGGAATTTAGACTGGCTAGAAGCATCAGGATAGTAAAAGCAGCCCCTGCATGAGAGAGAAAGGCAAGGGAATAACACTTTGCATTTATTACTGCATTGACAGCTCTACAATATTGCAATATCTTTGTGCAAATTATATGTGCAGGTCTATGAGATTTTTCCCTGTTTTATCATCTATCAGTTGAAAGTCTTAAGATTGCTTAGAAAAGTATTAGTATTAAAGCTTGTAACACAATCGGTGCAAATAAAATTCAGAGCAAAAAGAAAATTCTTGCACTGTCTGAAGAAGTTACTATATTCATATGATTTAAATTACAATAACTGCTGTAACTAGGACAGGTAACAGTTAACTAAGGTACATTTTAGCAAAGAAAAGTGCAAATTAACACACTGGATTTGCATATAATACATATACATAATATATTACTGTTCGAATGTTTGGATTTGATCACTTTTTTTTATTTGATCACTCTTATGTTCAACAAGGCTGCATTTATCTGATTACTAATACAGTAAAATGAAAATTGTGAAACATTATTACAACTGAAATAAATTTGAATATATTTTAAAATGTAATTTATTCCTGTGATGCAAAGCTGAATTTTCAGCGTCATTACTCCAGTTTTCAGTGTCACTTGATCCTTCAGAAATCATTCTTATTTGCTGATTAAGAAACAAGTAAAAAATTTCTGTTTAAAATAGAAATCTTGTTACATTATAAATGTTTTACTGACATTTTTGATCAATTTAATGCATCATTGCTGAATAAATTTCTTTCAAGCCAAAACTTTTGAACGGTAATGTATAATAAAAAACAAGGCAGTTAAATGTGAAATATAATAATATAAGCCATATGGAACCCAATTTAAGTCAAACTTTGAAAAAAAGCCTAGTCCTCTAATCTAGACAAAACTAATATTTTTTTTAACCAAAAGACTAAAACACATCTATAGGAGTAAGTTTGTGCTGTTTTCATAGTGATTTGGTTGCCAGGTGGCTGGTCAAACTGTGCAGAAAGTCCAGTCTAATACAGAGGTGTAAATACCAATGAGATTACCCAACACTCAGGTGAGTGAGCAGGTGTTTATTTGTCTACGTGTTAAAGGGAAAGAAAGCAGGGGACCGTTAAAAAAAAAGAGGGAAATAATAAAAAAGGAGACACATTGAACACATGATTGATTATTTCTGCTCCTGGAGATCTCCCCTCCCACAGACTTCAGTTCCAGCCAAGCTCTTAACACACCTGCCTGCAATTTCCAAGCAACCTTGAAGACCCTGATGAACTGATTCATGTGTTTTTAATTGTACTTGGAACAAAACTCTGCTGGAAGGTAGATTTCCAAGAACGGGCATCTCTGTTTTTGAGATATTCCTGGAGAATGTGCTGCTTGTTTGGTTACGAACACCACCCTGCTGATGGTGATCATTACTCCAGTCTTCAGTGACACATGATCCTTTAGAAATCATTCTAACATGCTGACTTGCTGCTCAAGAAACATTTATTATTATCAGTGTTGAAAACAGTTGCTGCTTAATATTTTCTGAAAGATTTGGTATTTTTCAGGATTTTTGATGATTATAAAGAACATTTATTTGAAATACAAATCTTTATAAATGTCTTTACTGTCACTTTTGATAAAATTAATGCATCCTTGCTGAATAAAAGTATAAATTTTTTATATACGGTGGTGTATTTTTCAAATCATCACTAAATTTTTACTTCTTTAGCTAAAATCACCCTGAAAAAAAATCTCTGGCTAAGCTAATGAACATGCACAAAAAAGTCTGTAGTCTGTATCAAAAAATTGATTGCCTATTTCCTATTATGATGTGAACCTCTTTAAACAATACATCATACTGTTTAAGCATCCAAGAAGCCTTATTGTGTTGACTGTACAGGACATGCAGATTCATGTGTTTGCTTGGGTCTGACCTTGGTTTGGTGGGTTGGGGTCCCAGGCTGCCCATAACTGAACAATAAAGAAAGGGGACCAGCAGATGGTGTATACCAGCACAATGACAAGAGTCATCCTCACTGTCTTAGACATGGCCTTAGTCACACCTGGGAGAGGCGGCGGGTGCGAATAGTCGGCCGGAAGGGGAAAAGCATCTGGAAGCACACCTGGCCACAGTTCAGAAGCTCCAGAGCTATTTGGGTGTCCAGCCAATGCACACACGCTATTGGCTGATAATGACTGAGAATGGGAGGGGTCTGAGAGATGGTTGGGGGTGTTTTGCAGGTGGGTTTGGACGGAAGGGGAGGAGCTGTCTGAAGAGGGGCAGGTCCCAAAGCAAGGCTCGCAGATAGAGCTCCTACAGGGTAGAGTATGAGAGTAGCTATCATAAAGGTTTGAGGAGGACGCTTCCTCTCCTGCATGATATGAAGGGCTGCAGTGAGCTTGACTGAGACTGCTGTCAGCATGATGACTGTGTCTGCTCTGTCTGTTTCTCTCTCTGCTCCTTCCCCTGCCCCCCTCCCGCTGAGCAAAGTGGAAGAAGACAGAGTTCCTCTTAAATTCTGCCGTCACCACCCGCTCAGACTTCAGGTAGATGTTGTCATGGATTTCTCTGAAGATGCGAACCTGGGATGAAAGAGATTCATCAATGTAAAAATATTCCTATCATGGTTCAGAGTCATGTGCCATTTAGAATTGAACTAAGAATACATTATTTTTGCTAAGTGCAGTAACGTGTGGTGGACATTTTATGGTGCTGTATGGGATCATTTACATTTGTGTCTGTTTTGGCAGTATTTAACTTAATTCTGATAAATATGATTAATCTGTTGAGGAAATCATGTTGTTAGATTGTGTACAGAGTCATATATGGCACTAAAATAATATAGTAAACATTAACTAAATAACAGAAAATGCATCAAAAAACACCCTATAACCCTAGCAAGCTCAAAACACCCAATGTGAATTACTGATAACAAAAAAAAAAAAAGAATTACAATCATATGTGGATGTGTTACAGGACTTCTGGGAATGTCAATTTACTGTCTTCACAGTAAATTACATTTTAATTCATAGTTTTTTTTTTTACCTCCAAAAAACAATATTCTATAGTAAATACACATATAATGTGATGTTAAACCATTTACAGTTTTTTTAACCATATACGTTAACTTACTGTCAACAGTTTTTTTATGCAGCATTTTACGTTTTTTTTACATTACAATGCATTTACTATACTTTCCAAATACATAGATCCTCAAATGCCTTACACTAGAAAAGAGCAAAAGCTAGTCTGAGAAAAATGATACATGGAAACAGTTGCTGGTCAGTAACATTTTTAAGGTGAAGCTTTTGTGTACGTCATTTACATTTATGCATTTGGTGGGCAATGTATGCAAATTGTCTTGCGTTGCATTCAAGGTATACACTTTATCAGTTCATGAGTTCTGGGAATCAAACCGATGACCTTGGCATTGCAAAATAAGTCAAACTGAAGCCAAGCCACATCAAAATTATTAGCAAACTTGTTTTGGACTATGGAAATTCCTCTGTGGTGTTACAGTGAATTTTTTTGAATTGCAATTAAGTAAATTCCTCTTCCTGTCATTCAAATTCAACATCCAACTCATGAATTGAAAAGGAGTCAATGATTAAATTCTGAATTTCACCGAGCACTAGCACAGCCATCGAGTTGTACCCTGCAGTGCGCCTAATTCCCGTTAAACATGCCAAGTCTTTGACATTTGCGTAGTATACATCATGTTCTTGTGCTATGATGCATTGTTAGACAAGAGATGTCAAAGCAATACATTCAATTAAAAACATTTTAAGAGATTGAGAAGAAAAAAGCTGGAGATACCTGACAGACAGTGATGATAAAGGCTGGCAATACAAATACAGCCACAGTCATCCAGGTGACGTATGCTTTAAGACCCCACGGCTCAGCAAAGTGGCCCCAGCATTCGAACACCCCGGGGGACACCTCTGACCGCGAGAAGATAAACACCTGCGTGCAAACGAGAAGACAGTCATGAGCTCAACAAAATAGTTGTGAGCCAATCAAAAAAACAATCAGGAATGAACTAAGACCGGTTATTCCTTACCTGTGGCAAACTGAGCACAAGGGCCAGGCCCCACGCAACCATAATGGGGGTGTTCCAGCGGGAGGGTGCACCTCCGCGATACGCTTGCAGGGGGCAGCAGATGGCATAGTGCCGATCCACAGTCATGGCAACAATCACATAAGAGGATGCAAACATCCCAACGATCTGCAAATACTTGATGGAGCGACACAGAGCGTCAGGGCCCTGGAAGTGCTCTGTGATGTCCCACACCAGCTGTGGCAGCACCTGGGGACAAAATAAAGACATATCAAGTCAAGTCACCTTTATTTATACAGCGCTTTATACAATACTGATTGTGTCAAAGCAGCTTTACATTATTAAACAGGAAAATAGTGTGTCGATAATGCAAGATTATAAGAGCAAACACAATTTTCCAGCTAAAGTCAGTTCATCATTGATTCAGTGATGTCATCGTCCAGCTCAGTTCAGTTCAAATAGCATCTGTGCAATCAAGTCGACAGTATTGCCAGAAATTAAGGAACCAAAACTCCATAGGTGACAGATCTAGATATATCTACTTCAGTCATGAAACTCTAGATGGTGCAGCCTTTTACACACAGTCACGTCATGGCACAAGCTGATTGGCCTTTGCTGATTATGCAGCCAATGAGATCGCAAACCTCCACTTCCCTCAGCACCACTTGTCTAGCAAAATTGCAATTGCAATTACATTTTTTTTAAGTCCCAGTTGTGACACATGATCCTTTAGAAATCATTCTAACATGCTGACTTGCTGCTCAAGAAACATTTATTATTATCAGTGTTGAAAACAGTTGCTGCTTAATATTTTCTGAAAGATTTGGTATTTTTCAGGATTTTTGATGATTATAAAGAACATTTATTTGAAATACAAATCTTTATAAATGTCTTTACTGTCACTTTTGATAAAATTAATGCATCCTTGCTGAATAAAAGTATAAATTTTTTATATACGGTGGTGTATTTTTCAAATCATCACTAAATTTTTACTTCTTTAGCTAAAATCACCCTGAAAAAAAATCTCTGGCTAAGCTAATGAACATGCACAAAAAAGTCTGTAGTCTGTATCAAAAAATTGATTGCCTATTTCCTATTATGATGTGAACCTCTTTAAACAATACATCATACTGTTTAAGCATCCAAGAAGCCTTATTGTGTTGACTGTACAGGACATGCAGATTCATGTGTTTGCTTGGGTCTGACCTTGGTTTGGTGGGTTGGGGTCCCAGGCTGCCCATAACTGAACAATAAAGAAAGGGGACCAGCAGATGGTGTATACCAGCACAATGACAAGAGTCATCCTCACTGTCTTAGACATGGCCTTAGTCACACCTGGGAGAGGCGGCGGGTGCGAATAGTCGGCCGGAAGGGGAAAAGCATCTGGAAGCACACCTGGCCACAGTTCAGAAGCTCCAGAGCTATTTGGGTGTCCAGCCAATGCACACACGCTATTGGCTGATAATGACTGAGAATGGGAGGGGTCTGAGAGATGGTTGGGGGTGTTTTGCAGGTGGGTTTGGACGGAAGGGGAGGAGCTGTCTGAAGAGGGGCAGGTCCCAAAGCAAGGCTCGCAGATAGAGCTCCTACAGGGTAGAGTATGAGAGTAGCTATCATAAAGGTTTGAGGAGGACGCTTCCTCTCCTGCATGATATGAAGGGCTGCAGTGAGCTTGACTGAGACTGCTGTCAGCATGATGACTGTGTCTGCTCTGTCTGTTTCTCTCTCTGCTCCTTCCCCTGCCCCCCTCCCGCTGAGCAAAGTGGAAGAAGACAGAGTTCCTCTTAAATTCTGCCGTCACCACCCGCTCAGACTTCAGGTAGATATTGTCATGGATTTCTCTGAAGATGCGAACCTGAGGTGAAAAAGAGATACATCAATATAAACATAATCTTACTCTATAGGTTCAGAGTTGTGTGTCATTTAGAACTGAACTAAGAATACATTTTAAATTCCATTTAAGAGAACTCACAGAACTGTAAATTTGAATGTAAGGAAATAGAATTAAATGGAATAAAATTACACTTAGCAGTTATATGTTTTTTCGAAGTGTTGTAATGTGTGGTGGACATTTTATGGTGCTGTATGGGATCATTTACATTTGTGTCTGTTTTGGCAGTATTTAACTTAATTCTGATAAATATGATTAATCTGTTGAGGAAATCATGTTGTTAGATTGTGTACAGAGTCATATATGGCACTAAAATAATATAGTAAACATTAACTAAATAACAGAAAATGCATCAAAAAACACCCTATAACCCTAGCAAGCTCAAAACACCCAATGTGAATTACTGATAACAAAAAAAAAAAAAGAATTACAATCATATGTGGATGTGTTACAGGACTTCTGGGAATGTCAATTTACTGTCTTCACAGTAAATTACATTTTAATTCATAGTTTTTTTTTTTACCTCCAAAAAACAATATTCTATAGTAAATACACATATAATGTGATGTTAAACCATTTACAGTTTTTTTAACCATATACGTTAACTTACTGTCAACAGTTTTTTTATGCAGCATTTTACGTTTTTTTTACATTACAATGCATTTACTATACTTTCCAAATACATAGATCCTCAAATGCCTTACACTAGAAAAGAGCAAAAGCTAGTCTGAGAAAAATGATACATGGAAACAGTTGCTGGTCAGTAACATTTTTAAGGTGAAGCTTTTGTGTACGTCATTTACATTTATGCATTTGGTGGGCAATGTATGCAAATTGTCTTGCGTTGCATTCAAGGTATACACTTTATCAGTTCATGAGTTCTGGGAATCAAACCGATGACCTTGGCATTGCAAAATAAGTCAAACTGAAGCCAAGCCACATCAAAATTATTAGCAAACTTGTTTTGGACTATGGAAATTCCTCTGTGGTGTTACAGTGAATTTTTTTGAATTGCAATTAAGTAAATTCCTCTTCCTGTCATTCAAATTCAACATCCAACTCATGAATTGAAAAGGAGTCAATGATTAAATTCTGAATTTCACCGAGCACTAGCACAGCCATCGAGTTGTACCCTGCAGTGCGCCTAATTCCCGTTAAACATGCCAAGTCTTTGACATTTGCGTAGTATACATCATGTTCTTGTGCTATGATGCATTGTTAGACAAGAGATGTCAAAGCAATACATTCAATTAAAAACATTTTAAGAGATTGAGAAGAAAAAAGCTGGAGATACCTGACAGACAGTGATGATAAAGGCTGGCAATACAAATACAGCCACAGTCATCCAGGTGACGTATGCTTTAAGACCCCACGGCTCAGCAAAGTGGCCCCAGCATTCGAACACCCCGGGGGACACCTCTGACCGCGAGAAGATAAACACCTGCGTGCAAACGAGAAGACAGTCATGAGCTCAACAAAATAGTTGTGAGCCAATCAAAAAAACAATCAGGAATGAACTAAGACCGGTTATTCCTTACCTGTGGCAAACTGAGCACAAGGGCCAGGCCCCACGCAACCATAATGGGGGTGTTCCAGCGGGAGGGTGCACCTCCGCGATACGCTTGCAGGGGGCAGCAGATGGCATAGTGCCGATCCACAGTCATGGCAACAATCACATAAGAGGATGCAAACATCCCAACGATCTGCAAATACTTGATGGAGCGACACAGAGCGTCAGGGCCCTGGAAGTGCTCTGTGATGTCCCACACCAGCTGTGGCAGCACCTGGGGACAAAATAAAGACATATCAAGTCAAGTCACCTTTATTTATACAGCGCTTTATACAATACTGATTGTGTCAAAGCAGCTTTACATTATTAAACAGGAAAATAGTGTGTCGATAATGCAAGATTATAAGAGCAAACACAATTTTCCAGCTAAAGTCAGTTCATCATTGATTCAGTGATGTCATCGTCCAGCTCAGTTCAGTTCAAATAGCATCTGTGCAATCAAGTCGACAGTATTGCCAGAAATTAAGGAACCAAAACTCCATAGGTGACAGATCTAGATATATCTACTTCAGTCATGAAACTCTAGATGGTGCAGCCTTTTACACACAGTCACGTCATGGCACAAGCTGATTGGCCTTTGCTGATTATGCAGCCAATGAGATCGCAAACCTCCACTTCCCTCAGCACCACTTGTCTAGCAAAATTGCAATTGCAATTACATTTTTTTTAAGTCCCAGTTTTGCCGTGCTTGTTTGTAGTGCAGCACAATTTGGCCAAAATGTTTGTGATTATATATTGATGTTATTATTATCATTAAATAAAAATATTAAACAAAATAAAAGATATTACTACTACAACTGCTACTACTACTACTTTTATTTCACCATAAGATTACAATACTAATATTTATGGCTGTTTAAACTAATTCGTTTTTTTCAAATGTTAAATCATGCAAAAGAAAACAGTGCTGCACTTCACTCCTAAACACACAGCTCTTTTATTTATTTAATTATATTGCAGTTATTGAGATCTGATAATCAATTAATCATGCAGCCCTTATAATATCTAGAACTTCTCTGCTGACACAACATTGCTCCCACGCCTGATACTTCAACTGCATTTTAATAAATGTAGTCTCACTGTATGTTTCCATTCAGGTCAATGATTACTTAACCGTTAAGCTCATTTCACCGCACTCATCATTTTTAATAGTCTCAAGAGGCTGTTACCTGAAAGAAGGCCACTACCAGGTCAGCCACACACAGATTGACCATGAAGAGGTGCATGGGAGCGTGATGTTTCTTCCTACGCAGCAACACCCACAGCACAAATCCATTACCCAGAGCGGTGAGGGCAAGCACCAACCCCAGCACCCCGATCTCCGCCTGGGCCAAGGCTTGGTCCCGTACCCGTGGAGGGGCAACTGGCTGGATTGTGGGCCTTGTGGTGGTCCATGTGATGTTCTCTGACGGAAACAGCCAGAGGAAAGCCCCCGTGCCTCCATAACTGCTGCTGAGATTGAAGAGGGAGCTGGACAGGTCCGGTGGCCCCTCCATCTCCAGCACAGAGTGATTGGGCTGACCCAAATTCTCTTCCCAAGAGGCCATCCTCATGACCTACAATGAGAAGGACAGACATGAGAGGCAAATCCAAAACATCCTAACACTGATCCCTCGCTGGCCTAAATTGTTAAACAAACAGTTGTAAATAATTTTAATAAAATTAGGCCAAATGAATTTCATTTTGTTGGCTATTTCTGTAGCTCTTCAGCAAGAGAAAAGGAATGGTGGCGTCTAAATCAAACAAAGTCATTGTTTCATCTCCCATATCATCTCAAATTCTCCATCTCAGCTTCTGTTTTTAGAGAAAGCGCTTAAAACATCATGTTAAATCATTGTGTTTTTAGCCAAAACAGTAAGAAATGAACTACACATGTACTCAGGTGTTTTGAGGTTAGTTTTGAGATTTGGAACAAAAAGAAAGCAAATGAAAAACATAAATAATAAAATTCTTTATGAATTTATTAATGACAGCTTTGAATCCTTGTCTTTCTGGAACCTCCACATAAAACATTTAGAAACCCCTCCAATTTCTTTTCGTCTGCCTCATTGTGGATTATCATGACCAGCTGCTAAAGCAAATTTATTTAGCGAATATCTGAAAGGCAAATCTGAGATTCTCTTGGGATTTACTCATCCTTTGTCTCCAGACACAGGAAAACATATTTGCGGTGAGACTGAGAAAAAAAAAATATGAGAGAGGTATGGGAACAATTATGCTTTAAATCCCTCTTTTGGATACACAGTGTATGACTGAGGCATGGAGGGGGAGGTGGGCAGGAGGACGGGCTTTTAAGGGCTAAATGGAGAAGGAAGCAGTTTTTAAAGGTGTCTGTAATTATTATGTGCTGACATACAGTATATAACTGAAATGGAAGGCCGAGGAGTATGTTTTGTGCAAATGCTTGCTTCTACTTGCATTAAACTTCATTTTTTGCCTAATTTATTGAATAAGCTTATCAATTCCACACTTTTAAAGTGCATGCAATTTACCATACATGCATACTGGTGTTAAGGAAATATGAAATCAAATATGAGTGAAAGAGTGAAAGTGCAAAAGCATTTAAGAAAACAACATCGGATAATAAAGGTAGAACAGTGTGGTTTATTGCAAAGAGCGCTGCCACTATGAGGAGAAAATGTGTGGCTGTATTAATAATTCTCACACAGACAGATTAGAAAGGCTAGTCTTATTTTAATTTAATTAATGTGTAAAGTTTTTTTTTTTTTATTCAGCATTAAAATATTTTCATGTTTTTAATTCAATGTATTAATTATTGAAATACATTAAATTAAACAAAAGATAGTACAGACATTTATAATGTTCCAAAATTTTCTATTTCAAATAAATGCTGTTCTTATTAACATTCTATCAAATCCTGAAAAATAAATAAATAAAGGTTTCTTCCAAAAATGAAATGAAATAAAATAAAATAAAAATAAGCAGCACAACTGTTTTCAACATTGATAATAATAAGAAACGTTTCAAATCAGCATGCCTTGGTGAGCATTTTAAAAACATTTCAAAAAAATCTTACCAAACTGAAACTTCTGAATGCTAGTGTAAATCATTTAATGTTGTAGTCACTGGAAAACAAGGCATTGATTTCGTGTGGTTTTCTCTGATATTTTCTTTGATTCTTCTGGTGTTTGTTAGCTCATACATGCTGCTTAGCCTTCCATGAGTGTATTCCTGTCAATGTGTTTATGATTTATGTGAGGATTAGCAAGAATGGAACCAGAAAGCTTTCGAATGCGGGTTGTTTTAAAATGAGCTCTTGATTCAAGTCCAAGTCTCTGAGACCTGCAATATTTCATTCATCCTTACTCACTCACTCTTGCTCTCACTCACTCCATCCATCTGGAGTGGTGGTTTTCATCTTGCATTTGCATAATCAATTCACAACAGAAATAGCCACTTCAGAGCTGTGCTGGTTACAGAGTTATAATGAAATCCTTCCAGTTGTAACACAAAGCCTGGCAAGGTCTTCCGTTGACGTTGCTCATGCTGTCCAGTTTGTCGTCTGTTCGCACTCTTTGCATGTCCCAACTACTTTCCATTACCTACTTTGATACCTCCTCCTGGGAAATTACAGAAAGAGCCTCCTCGCACGCTCTGGGTCTTTAAATGTGTCTGATGCACATGTGCTGGCAATGGCTATTCATCAGGCGGAAAGTGGCTCTGTGATGTGCCCCTGCTGGGCATGTGTGCATGAAGCACTCAGCTGGGTCTATACCCGCAAGATAAAGCGTAAAAATGAGATCTCTTTCATATCTCATGCTGAAATTACATGGAGAGCAAATGGAATCTCCTCTCCAGAAATATCACATGCGTCTTCTCTATGGTTTTAAAAGAGATTGCAATAATTTCACACAATGTGGTCAGATTTGTCAAGAAAGAGTCTGCGATCAAATGATCAGAGATTTTATTAACTCATAAAACACTGACTACGCTAACTAATTTCACTCAGAAATCTACTCTAGTAGATTTTACATACACTTACAAAGAAACAGCAAGTAACATTAAATCAAACATGACATTTTGGAGTAGAAAGACTGAAATAATATTTTCTTGTAAAACATACTCCGATAATGTTTGTTTTATTCAGAACTTATAATAATAATATCATAATAATAATCATGATAATAATCATAATTTTTTGCATTTTTTTTGCAATTTTTTGCATTAATAATAATCATAATTTTTTGCAGTGTGGTCATTTGTGTGAAGATTTTTTTGTCCAGCTTAGAAATAAAATAAAAAGGTAATATGTGAAAATTATGCTCTAAGTCAGAATTACACATTTTTTATTGATCCCATATTTTTTACCTGAAATATATTTGTACATTTTTCCTTAATGTAATATTAATATTGAATGTATTTATACTACATTCTCCATTTTTACTTCACAACTATGCATTGTAATTTTTCCATCTTAGCACTGAACATTTAAAAAAATCTTTGAAGACTAAATTCATGTGGCCTTTGAATTTTATAGCTCTAAACTCTTACTGTATGTCAAAAATCTCATTGTTTTTATTTATCCTAATGATTTTAGAAGAAACATCTTAATTGAAAATGAAGGTTATTTTTATTTGTTGGCATCTATGGTTCTATAAACATCCATGGAACCTTTCCATTGTACAAAAGATTCTCAATACTAAAAAAAGGTTTGAAAATGTTCTTCACACTAAGAAAATAATGGCTCTTCACCGAAACGTTCTTTGGGGAACCAAAAAGGCATTGGTGTGAAAACCTATACATTATTTTTTTAAGAGTGTCTCCTGAGCTATGAAAGAGCAACCACTGCGCAATCAAAGAATCCGATCAAAACCACACCAAAGCTAACAGAGATGTGTTCTCTGTCTCTCAAACCTCCATCTGCTGGTTTTCAGATGGACACTAAAAATATTTCCCGTTTCCCGTGGTGCTCTGCTTAGAGGTCAAGGGGGCAGTGGAAAAGAGGAGATGAGATTGGAGGATGTGAAAGCCAACTGTGGAGAGCAGCAGTGCACTCATCCGTCTCTCTCGCTCATTTGCTCCTTTCTCAGTTTGTATCCTCTCTCTGTTCACCACTGCTGTTCAAAGTATCCGACTTTCACCTAAATATCATCCTTTTACCAGATCAGCCTGTCCTTGATATCTCCTAATCTATTCCAGCAACCGAACAGTGACAGTTTTAGCAAAACTCAACCTGGTTCTTCACTTCGCAGCTGAGCTCTTAATGTTGATGGTCAGATGTAACTACTACCTTTCAGATCTCATCTGCTGAATGACTCTCATGGGTTCTAAAAATGATGCTTCCCAGACCTGTGCCTTTCACAAAATGCTCGGTGCCAGACCGGGGTCATATGACAGGAGGAAAGGACGGTCAAGGCACAGCACTGGGGTGCACTGGGACTTGAGCCTGTGACCCTTAAGCAGCACTTTCTAAAGGTGCCTTTTGCCATCAAATAAATAAATATGGTGAAAAATGAGAGAGGAAATACTAGAAGAGGTGGACAAGAAAAAGAGAGGGCATACAGAAATGCTCATTGGAAATCGAGTGAATTTAAAAATCAGAGAGGAAGATGATATAAAACCTCAGGTGTTTACTATATAATATTATATCACTGATTAAATTAGAGGAATAATGATAACAAAAAATTAAATTGTATTTGGCAATTATATATGGCATGAAATACATTTTAAATATATTTAAAAATACACAAAATGGGCAGAAATGGCCAATATAGATTTTAAAAATATATTTACATAAATATTTATATAAATTATTATTATTTTTTTTACTTTTTTGTGTGTGTATATATAATA